GTTCGGGGACTATTCTCCTTTTTGTTTATTAACTTTCCTAAAGATTTCCTCTATCCAAAGTTAGGTTTTCCATCATTACTCTTTCTCCACCAAGCAGAAACTTCAAACTGCTGCGACAACGGATATTTTGGTTTCAATTCAAAGGGTGAGCTGTATATCACGAAGACTGCCCTGCTTTTCCTTTGAATCATTTTGGAATATGAGGAAATTATGTAATAATACTTATATGAAAATATTGATGTGATATTCCAGTCACTTTGAACTCTTGGCATGTGTATGTTCCACAGCACAGAGTGTCATCGGATATGACAAGCATATTAACTTTGATAACTTTGAAATCCTATACAAATATCAATGTTTAATCTCAAATCAGATCTCTTTGACCAAATGGAGACACATTCACTTTTACATTGAGTTTAAAAACTCACACTTTTACCTTTTTAAACATTTTTCTGGAGTCTATTCCCAACCCAAAAGTTCATGCATCAATCCTTCTTAGGGTATTGTGGACATTTTTCTCATGTATTAATTCCATACCATCTTATAATGACAAGTTTTCAATCACAATATAGGCATTAGAAGTGTTAATAACAAATCAAACCAAATAGATTATGAAAAATTTAACTCACTATAGTCTGAAGGACTATTATATCACTTGACTATGGTGAGTTAAATTAATCTTGGATAAAACAAGTCACTAATCCAAACATGACCTATGAGTGGGATAAATTAGGATAACATGGGATAAAATGGGACACTTGAGTGAGGCAATTGATGATAACTACTTTTTAAAATATGATATTTATGAATCAATTAAGTTGTGAAGTAACTTATTATTACATAACATCATGAATAAAATTTAATAATAATAATAATAATAATAATATTTAAAAAGTAATCTTTGAATATTTTTATGTTTATTTCTAATTCATATTATATATTAACAATATTTTTTTATTAATTTAATTATCTTATTGTTCGTACATTTATTTAAAATATATTGCATACTTATTTTTTAATTTTTATTTAAATTCATATTTTAATTAATACATATATTAATTAATACAATGTATTAAAATATTTTATTAAATAATTAAGTATAAATTGAATACAAATTAACTTATTATTACTAAATTAACATATATTAGATATTATATTTTTATTTAAAGAAGAACAATCTAGATTAAGATGAAGCCTTAATTATTACAAATAAAATCTTAGTCATTAAATAAAATATTAATTATGACAAATATTCTCGTTGATTTTTACTCTATTATACGTACATGATTAACACTGCATAATCGTAATATTGTAACATAAAATCATATCGTCATCACAACATCCATGTGCTTGAAGTATAAGCTTATGTTACCTGGGTACTTCATTATTGAAGCCGTACCCGTACCGGACACGTACCCGACACTTTCCCGTACCCAAACTTTATGGACACTTCTTGAATATATGCATGCATTTATTACAACATGTACTCAATTAGACGATATATGTGTTAATTTAAAACACTTGTCAAAGACTTCCTGGACGTAAAGCTTACACTTCACATCCGTCTTTTGAAACTAATGGGATACGGGTTGGGTTCGTTTCAGATCATACCCAAGTTTAAAACTATGTAGTTAATGGGTCGTTTAGATGTCTAGTAAAAAAAATGAGTATTTTACAATTCACGATAATCAATATGATAAAATAAACTCAAAAATATGATCAAAATTTTAATTCTAATGACACATGAAGCGGAAAAAAATTATCTCATGTACATTATTAATTCAATATATAGTCGTGTCCTGGCTGTACCCAACATTTTACAGTTTTGTCGTGTCCCGTACCCGTATCCGCACCCGTACCAGTACCTGTGCCCGTTTTCATACAACTTAGGTATAAGCCCAAAAGTACATAATTAGCACCCACAACTAATAATAAACATAAAAGCACCCTTGTGCTCAAACTACATAGATAAAAGCATCTATGTGCTTGAAATACAACTCTAAAAGCATAGTTATTAACTACGGCTAGTACTAAATGCATAAGCAAAATCACCATCCTCCGCATCTGAAAAAGTTCCAATCTCCAAATCATGAACTATCTCCTTAACTATTATTCATCTTCACATACATATCCTTCACGTCTTAGGAAACATTCATTGAGAACGATCAACCTTTGTGCATCGGTAAATCCCAAAATAGAAGCCTCTCCCACCATCCAAGGTTAGTTACAGCATCGAAACAACCTCGCCTCTATGATCAACTCTTGCAAAGTCTTCTCACTCTATGATCGACTCATGCAAAGTTTTTTTCTTATAGCCATAATCCCATTTGCGATGTTTTGTATGACAGATTGAGATCATGTAGAGGCGGTGCTGGAGGTCAATGATACAGACTCAGCCAAGGGAGTGTCAGGATCTTGAATGGTGCTAGGAGGTGGTGGAGTATCTATCGGTTGATGGGAAGTCTTCTACATTTATCATCAAGACCAATATTGTCATGCCCCGGGCTTGCGAGCTCATTAGTGCGATGTATGTCATGGGACCCATGAAATGTAATGCATGGTTTGGCTCAAAGCACTACCAAAATTGACGAGCAATCAAAGTTATACTTGGCTTTTAAGACCCATCATTTAAATCATTTAGTCACTCAATTAATATTCGATGTGGGACTAAATTTTGGGGATCACAATCACCCTACCTTAAGTACACGATGTCCTCCGGCATGACAATTGGTTATTCTCAGTATTACCATCAGGCGATGTAGACTCTAGAGATGGCTCTCACCGCACTCATGCGTTATAGCACTTAGTCCTGCATAGCACTTAGTTCCACATATCTGGCTAGTTAGTTGCTTTGATACCATTTGTCATGTCCTAGATCCCGAACCCATTAGCGCGATGCAAGTCGTAGGACTCACAAAGTGCAACGCACGGTTTAGCTCAACCACTACCAAATTGACTAGTTAATATTACACTTGACTCTTAAGGCCGATTATTTAAACCATTCGCTCAATCAATATCTGATGTTGGACTAAATTTTGGGGATCACAAATGTCATCATTAAACATATCCTCACCTAATGCACTGTGTATCCTCACCTAATGCACCGTGTAACGATGCACTCTCTACACCATTGACTTCCAAGCCTCCGACAGTTCTCCCGGCTACAAAGTGGCTACCCACAACCATGCATATATCATCCAAATTTTCTAACAACTGATCTTTAAACATTGGTGTGTTAGGACAAGTCTATCAAAATACAAAGATAGCAATTTAATATTACTATTTTTTAATTAAAAACATAACAATATTTTATGTGCTTTAAAATGTTTTGGTAATTTAATTTTCCCAACCCCAACTGAATAAGTAATTCTTTAGGATGTAAGATCCAATGCAAACCCTGAATTATTCTTCAATAGTAATTCAATGGGTTCAATTTTCCTCTTTCAACTCTTGATCTTATTCTTTATATGATCAAATTTGAAGTTTCTCCCAAATTTGGCATTTATATATGTCAGCATATTTTGAGTGATAGTAAATTTCTTGAAGTTGTCATTATACATCCTATTTTGTTCTTTACTTCTTCCACCAAAAGCCTTGGTAACTCTTCGTTTTCTTCTTCCAACCACACCACATAGTCGTACCTAGCCTTTGCCCTCCTCTCACCATTTTGAGAGTGGCTCTTCTATAGTGTTGAGTTTCTAGAGCAAAATTCATCCTACAATGCAAATATCAATAATGATGACATATCTCAAACAGTAATGACACCATATAGTCTTTGCACAACTAATCTGGTTTAGGGGTAGAGGTTTAGTGAATTTGGTGTCAAAAAGAGTCTGAGCAATAGCAATTAGAGCTACACGTCTATATACAATTAGTTCTTATTAGTGACTTAGTATGTTGATGAATACATTGTGTTCTCTTAAATATCTGTAATAGTGTATTATGAGATTAGACATGAAGCTGTGTGAGTGTGAGCTAGTGTTAGAGGCAAAAGATAGTATTGTACGCACACAAACAGAATGTAGAGATACATAAGATGATAATGATGCTTAAATTTGTTTGATAAGTACTTGGTTTTGCATTTATGTAATATCACCTAAAAGGCTTCAACGAAGTTATTGCAAATGTAAATTGTACCCCCATCTCCGAAAGCAAGAACACAACCACCAAAAACTTCTTAAAAATGTTAAATGAAAGGTTTATGATTTAGTATATAAGTAGCAATTTTTTAAATAAAGCATGACCACAATGCAACAATGTGAAAGCAATCAAAGAATGAAAGCAATCAAAGAATCAAATTTCATCAATCTGTCCAAAATTCATGACAGGTTATATCATAGCAAACCCATTCAATTAGAAATTACATATATAAACAAAACCACAATGTAATAAGAAATTGATAAGTGCACAAATAGAAAGAATTAAATTGACATAATAAGATCAAGCTCGACAATGATAAGAAATGGAATAAGATGGTGGGTTGAGCGGAGGTCAGGCACTGGAGGTCCCTGCGGAGGGATACTAGAGATGGTTACAGTGGCTAGAGGGAGAGAGATGAGAGAGAGAATCACTTGATTGGTTGTTGATTAGGCTTATTGAAAATGCTACTTGAGGAGGTGCATGGTTGTAGGAGAGTTGAGAGGTGGTAGAGGAGCATAAAAATTAGAAGCTCGAGGAAGGGAGCGAGAGGAGGAGGAAGAAGGGTAGAGTGAGGATCACCATTTGATTTTTGGACTGGAGAAGGAAGGATGAGGAGGAGAATGAGTTGAGATTAAGTGCTAAATTTATCCACTCATACAATGAGTAGTTTGAGACAAATGCGAGGTTGGGAACAAAAAAGTATCATATAGTTGAGGTAACTTTAGAAGAGGTTGGATACTTGTGCTACAATTGTTCTAAAAATTAATAACACCATAAAGTAGAATCTCAACCCTAATAAATAACACCAAAAGGTATTTTCCCAAAAACTATCTCATTTACACCAAAATAACACTGATGAATAAACCCCTCTAGATACTAAAAAGTTCTTAATGAGAATCTTATAAACTACGTTGTACGGAAACGGGTATGGGTATGAGCGCATGTGCTGGTATAGGACACGACAAATTTATAATTGTACGGAAACGGGTATGGGTATGAGCGCATGTGCTGGTATAGGACACGACAAATTTATAAAAGTAGGATACAGAGACAACTATATACATATATTGAAATTAATAATTCACATGAGATTAATATTCTTTTGTGATTCGCTTGTATAAGAGTTAAAATTTATATGACATTTTTATGTTTCTTTTAGTATGTAGGTTATAAAGTGGATGTGAAGTATAGAATGTCCAAGAAGTGTATGACGAGTGCTTTAAATTAAAACATGTTTTATATAATTGAGTACATGTCCGAATAAATGCATCTATATATTCAAGGTGGGACCAAGAAGTTTTGGTGCGGGTACGTGTACGTGTCGTGTATGGCTTCAGATAGAAATACCCAAGTAACATAGCTTATAACTGAGTACCCATTTCTGTTCACTATCTAGAATGATATGAGTGCATACTACGTTGCATGTGTATTTCTATTTGGAACCATACCTATGTTGTACATTGAAATCTCAGTGGACTCTCTTTGGATATTTGCACACATATTCAAATGGGTACGCAAATATTTAATACATATTTTAAGTTAAAACACTTGCCATATACTTCTTGAACGTATATCCTACTTTTCACATGCAATTTTTGAAACTCGTTAGACATAAGTTGAGTTTGTTTCAACCATACTCGGCTCAAAACTATGATTGTAAAAGTCCTTTTGGAAACAAAGTTAAAAAACGAGCAATTTTCTAATTTATAAATTTATATTGTAAAAGAAACATATAAATGTCATAGGAATTTTATTTTGTAGCATGTGAAATGAAAAAATAATATTGATTTAATATAAATTATTATTATATATTCATATGTATGTGTAGCTATGTCTCCGTACCCTACCTTTTACAAATTTATTGTGTCCCCTACTTGCACCCACACCAGTATCCATGTAACTTAGGTTGCATGGGATAACAAAAGGAGGGGAACCGAAATAAGAAATCTTCAAAAAAGGACTACTAGTTGAGGTGTTTTGTTCAATTAGAGTTTTCCCTTAAACTTTGATGAGTTACCAGTTACCAGACGTCATTAGCAAAGAAGTTTGAAAGATGTTACTTTTTTCTCCTTTGTCTGACTTGCATGTATTGTTTCTTTTATTAGTTCTGTCCACGGAAGTTTGGGACTTTGTTCGTGTTGTTTATTGTCATTTGCAGGGTTTTATTCTTCATGTGACTTTGTGTAGTGGAATGTCTCACAAGATACCTATTACTCGCTAAGAAAAGCATTTTAGATCTTTATTTAAACAAATTAATATATAAGATTATGACTGCAGCCACTGTCACGTTATTAGCTACTTTCTCATGTAATTAATTATTTTCTCAAAAAAATTATCGTTTGAGTAAATATATTATGAAGGGCCAAAGATAACTTGAAAAATTAGTACTGGTACCAAACCTACACCTGATATTCATGAAGCAAGCACTTGATGCATCACGAAATGTCAACCTGACATATAAGTGTTTATATTGAGTCATTGACATATAATTTCAACCCTTCTTGGAAAGTTATATTCAAGGTGCTGAGAACAATGTGTTCTGCCTTGTGTTGTATTTATACAAAATTTCCTTATTACATATTCCAAGCATAATAAACATCTTAAAGTTCTTAACATTTGCATAAACTTAACCTTTTGCCTTGAACTTTTTGAAGGTAGTCTTAGCATTTCATGAACATGGAGGGAATGGATCTGGTGATATGCCTATATCCCTTCCCAAATGGGTCTTGGAGATTGGAAAAGACAACCAAGATATATTTTTCACTGATCGTGAGGGGAGGAGGAATACAGAGTGCCTTTCTTGGGGAATCGACAAAGAACGTGTGCTCAAAGGAAGAACTGGTATTGAGGTACTTGAAACTTTGTTATGGCAGCATTGCAATGACTTGGTCTTCAATATATTTTTCTTACAATGAAACAATCAAACTCCTTTTCTATGATGCTAGAATAGTAATGGAAGTTCCTTTCTTGCCATATTATAAATCTGGATTATATTCCTAGATTTATATTTCCATCCCTAGTTCTTGTTTATGCGTAGATTATAGAGATATTGACTTCTTCACGACCCCCCCCCCACCCCCACTTGCTAAACCCATTGCTCACATAGTTGATGATGGTTCAGTTGTCGTACATCTTCCCTGTGGAATTCTTTAGGTTTCTATCATACTATTTCAGATTGCAGGTTTAGCTTCTTGATATATGTTGGTATATCTTCTTGCATTCATGCCAAAGCTCCTGGGGACCTTAGATTCTTCTTTCACGTTGTATTTTCTGATTTTATTCAATATCGAACATTTCAGGTCTACTTTGACTTCATGAGAAGTTTCCGGATGGAATTCAGTGATTTATTTGAAGAGGGCCTTATTTCTGCTGTTGAAATTGGACTTGGTGCATCTGGGGAGCTAAAATATCCTTCATTTCCAGAAAGACTGGGATGGAGATACCCTGGTGTTGGTGAATTTCAGGTATTGCAATTAATTTAATCCACTTTAAATTTATATATTGCTAACAACTTTTAAAGTCATTTTAATCTCAACCTGGTTTAACCTCTACTCAACTCTGAGGCTCTAAACATTCATAAACATTTTCAAAATCTACACTTAAATCTATTGGAACAGCCTGACAGGTTACATGCGACAGGTCGAAGAGAAAAACAAAGTAATATCACTTGAGATTTGAGAATAAATAACTACTTAAGAATCCCTCATTTCTCCACTTAATCAATATACTGTCTTGTAATTTAGTGCTGAAATGTCCAAGCTCATTAAACCCACTTGCGTTGGACCGCCGCAATGTTACAGAAGGCGCTAGGCAGACTAGGCGTTCGAGCCGGGGCCTAGCGCCTAGGCGTTTGCCTATTTTTTAATTTATTTGATTATAATAATTCACAAAAATATATTAAGTTCATATAAAATCGTAAGAAAAACATATATAACAAGCTTAGATCCATAATCAACCATGTATAAATACTAAATAGCCAAATTAGTAACCAAATACTAAAAACATCACCATGTCCAATATAACAAGTCATCGCTATAGTAAATAATATCGCAAACTCAAAAGTCTAATGCTCAAGAAGGAAAAAAAACACGAATAGTCTAAATGTCTAGCACGTGATAATCATATAATCTAATGAAATCATCATCAATCATCATCAATCATCATCATCATGGAAATCCTTTCATGTATGATCGCTCTCCTCCGAGTTCATGTCCATGAAGTCCTCATCCTCGTCTGTGACATCATCATCCGAGGAAAGAGACTCTTCTTCGCTAGTAATCATCAAAGGTCCTGCAGCTCCTGCTATTCTTTCAC